TGTTTTCATCTTTTTTTATTTTTAGTAAAAAAACATACACAAACAGAAAAATGGACATAAGATCATATATGGCCATATATGATCTTATATAAATACACAAGTCTATTTTCTCTCGGGCAGAATTTTAAATATCACGATACATATACAGGGTAAATCATAAGTATGTTTTAAAATTTCGTGAGCATGTTCCTGGATAAAAAGTATGAATAAATGTTCTTATAAACATTAGGCCAAAAATGCTTCATTATCAAAATAAAGGACACAAATAAGTATCAAATAATGACTTTATTTAAAAGTTTCAGGTGGGTATTCTTTTTGTTTATAAAGGATGCTGTAAGTGTACATTTTACAATAAAATAATGAATCAATACTAATATTGCTCGGTGTTGAACTACCTCAAGCATATTGATTTGATTGTAGGTACGTTACTGTACTCAAATACAGAGGCCTACATTAAAACCCCCTTCCCCTTTCTTTCAGTGGGTCGTAGCAGCGTGTGCTAGTAAACAAACATTATCCCAGAATCAAAATACTAGAGACACAACATCGTGGAGAGAAAGAATCTAAATCTACTCATTAGTACAACATCGTGGAGAGAAAGAATCTAAATCTGAAACTCATTAGTCAGTCATTATGAAATCTATTTGTGTCCATTATTTCGATAACGAAGCATTTTCGGTCTAATGTTCATAGAAACATTTTTCTATACTTTTTATCCAGAAACACGCTCACGAAATTTTAAAACATACTTATGACTCACCCTGTTTATATATCATTTTCATAAGTTGAATTACAATTGTAGGTATCAGTTTTATCGAATTAAATTACAATTTTTTATGTTATAAACGAAGTATATATATATATCGTAGCCAGATTAATCTGTCGTTTTATAAAACGTTTAGGCATTTTATAAAATGCAGCCACATTCTCAAATCATAGTTCAAAATGAAATATTTTACAATCTAGCTAAGAATTTTAATCTTTTTATAAAACGCTAACAAGCGACCCGCCATTGTCAAACGCAATGATTTGTACATTGTTTTAGATTTTGGCTGGTTCATTTCAGTCATTTTATGAACGATGCATTTTTACCGGCCTTACTTTATGTTACATTTGATAAAATAGTTATAATAAATGTTTTTTTTGTATTTCTTTTCACGGTTATATTTCTTTTTATTAATTGTTTTCAAACGTTATCTTCGAGAATTTTATTTGTGTTACTTTTATAAAACCTTAATTGTAATAAATATAAGCGTTGTTAGCGTTTTATAAAAAGACTAAAATTCTTAACCAGATTGTAAATTATTTTCAACTATGATTTGAGAATGTGGCCGCACTTTATAAAATGCCTAGACGTTTTATAAAACGACGGATTATGTAATCTGGCTATGACATACAATATATATAATGGCAAGCTGAAAAAAAAAATAAAAAATTGAACTAAATAAAAACAAACTAAACTAAGTTAAATTAAATTGTGATATCTAATTCTGAACTGCATTAAAATTAAAATTAAAAAATTAAATCAATAAAAATAGAAAAGTTGGATCTATACTTAAAACTAAATCTTAACTAAAATTAGAATTAAATTAAAGAGAACAAATTGGATTAAATTCAGACTAAAAATATAATAAAAACAATCTGCCTTTTTTTAGATTTAAAAATTATTAATAATTTATTCTAACTTACATAATTGTAACTATTTCACTCTTATATAAATGTATAATTATGCTAATAACATATCTAATCACACACTGAATAATAATAATGAATTAACTAACTTAATTTTGATATGAAAATTTGTTTTTTCGTCAATTTGCTAAACTTTTATCCATAAATTGAGAGAGACAATTTATAGTGTTTTTTTAGTTTTCATTACCATTTTCACAATGTTAAGAATATCTCCCCCTCTCTCTCTCTCTCTCTCTCTCTCTCTCTCTCTCTCTCTCTCTCTGTATACATATAGGGTGTCCCACTTTAAACAGTCGAACCGAATATCTCGAAAACTGAGCCTGAAACACAAAAATGTTTCAGACAAAAGTTGCATACTTCAGAGGGGGACACATGATGAAAATATGGACTTGACCGTGATTGACCTTTTCAAGGCCAAGTCAATGTGATCGATGTTTTCTTAAATGGAACCCTCCATTTTTTATTGCATCTTCTTGTACTCCTTGCCGAGA